AGTCTGACCCGCCCCCCCCCCCCCCAAGCCACCTCAATGTATTTGAAAACAAAATATAAATTAGTGGCAGAAGATATACTTAAACCAACAATCCTCTGTAAACCATGTCTATTTAAACAGCCACAAAAAGTCTTAAACCCCTGATGTGTAAAGGAGGATTTACCTGCTGTACATATCTATCTGTGGTCTTCCACATGTAGTAATATTCGATAATACTCGTCAGGGACTTCCAGGGCAACTACAGAACAAAATAGTTTGAGTTTAGTGGTTATTTAAGTGACTGCAGCACACATATGTTTGACAGGTCTCTGGTTTAAAACTGCTGATTGGTTAAAAAAACACATCTGGATGAAGAATGTGAACATCAGATGAGAAGTGAGCATCTTTCTACAGACACTTGACTCTTGAGAAAAGTGTTCAGAAGCACAGTGACCACCCTAAAACTTCAGAAATCCTTCTTTTATAACTAACCTTTGTGTGAACTTAACACAGTTTAGCATAAATTGGTTTATTAATCATGTGTGATAAAAATACCACTTTTATCCAAGATAATTTCTACATTTTAAATCATTCTCAAGATACTGTACCATCAACAACACCACTCTGGCTTTCCCACAATCCCAAACCGCACACACTACCTCTGTTATAATCGTCAGCTGCACAGAAGAAATAAATTTATGAATACCACCAGGGCAGATGACATAGTCATCTTCACTGAGCCGACCTATAAACTAAAGATGAGGGTGAGTGCAGTCATAAACAAGTACATCTGAAATAAATACATTAAAAAGTCTTGAAAAGACCTTATAGTTCTGAGAGTGAGAAAACTGCTCCAGCCTGATGGTGTTGAGCTTCTTTTGTTTTCTTTGTGTAAAAGATAAAAAGCCCGACTGGCCACAAAATATGCGCAGCTGCCGAAGTGGCTCTGTAAGGTTCCCTCTAAGAAGTTTGAGAGGAAAATGAGCTGTCAAGTAATGGCCCCACCCGTGCCGGTGGTGTAGTCCTGTTTGAGAGAAGGCCTAGGTGGAAACTAGGCTGAGCGGCACTGACAGCAGCCAGCCACCAGGTGGCAGAGTGATGCACACAGTGAGAGCTGAGCAGAGTGTGCATTTGAAGACACACAGGCCTGCGAGGACCTACAGCAGAAACACAGCTTTCACTGTGATAACATGTAACATTTCCACTCTGGCTGCAGTGGTGACTTACTACTGTGTTTGAAAGTTGAACGAAAGCTAAATCGCTATATAAATTCCAAAAGCCTCTACAGGAGTTCTGTGGTTTGTGCAGTGAGAAGCAGAAATGATGGGTGTATTAAATACCTACTGTAAACATCTCTAAATTAGATTTAGGCATCCCACAAACAGGCTGATGAGCAGCATAACAATGTTTTTTACTGGCTTACTACTCACAAAATCCTGCTGGATATCGGTGAAATCTTTGCCGTATTTCTCTAGTGCCTCCTCGAACAGGTTGGCCTCTGAAGCGCTCCACTCCTCCATTTCATCCCTGCAGAGGACAGGCCCACCCTGAGGCACAAGCGCTGCGATGGCACGAGTCATGTCATAGCCCGTGGCGTGGAGTGTATCCATCGCGTGAAACTAAAATAAAAATACAGACAAGTGACAAATTAAATGAAAACCCAACATAAAGTGGGTCAGTAAGGTGTTGGGCCACCATGTGCCATCAGAACAGCCTCAGTGCACCTTAGCATTGACTCTACAAGTCTCTGAAGTCTACTGGAGGGATGAACATCATTCTTCCAAGATATATTCCCTCATTTGGTGTTTTGACGATGGTGGTGGAGATGCTGTCTAACATATCGCTCCACAATCTCCCACAGGTGTTCAACTGGGTTGAGTTTGGTGACTGTGAAGGCCATAGCACATAATTCACACCATTTTCACTGTCAGCCGCCACTAATTTATTCAGCTGTTTGTCTTTTTTTTTTTTTTGTTGCCTGTCTGTACACGTTAGCCTCCGACCTTTCTCATGTTGTTCTGAATGTAGTTTGGACTAATTATGTACTGCAGGTCTGCAAAATTCAGAGGCTTGTACCATAAAGCTAGTTCAGCCTAGTCCGGTATCACAAAGCTGGCTATCAGCTGGCTCTGTTCTATCAGTCTATGAGCACATTCAGAGGTGGAGTTGTTAATTAGAAGCGACATCATCAAAACCATGAATGACGTACTGAATATATTATGAGATGGAGCAGCAATACCTGCAGGGAAATTCATTTATAGCCAGAGCAAGAAGTGATATTACAGCAGGTGAACTGTAGACAATAGGCCACGACCACATAACTAGAATAAAATAAGAAGCAGGACACTAGAAATAATTTTCAAATACAAAAGAACAGCTAAGAATATACTGTAAATTGGCACAGTATTATTATAAGGGTGTTACTGAATGAGTAGCCTACTCTCTCTGCTGTCTGAATGTGTAAAAAATGACTAATGTACAACAGTTTCTGCTGCCAGAGCTGAGAGAAGTTGCACCTAAAGTCAGTCTCACTGGTATGCTCTTTTATAATTATGGGAAATATATTAACAGTCTAAGGATTATTTTTCTAATAAAAATTTAAATAGAACCTCCTCATATTATTCTGAGCTGCTGTCAAATTCTTTGTGTTTAAAATACAGTGTTAGTCAATGTGTCGGCTGTAGACTCCCTTAGTTTGTTAGAAGCTACTTTAAACCAAAGTGAATGCCTGTAGAAGAAAAACTACTTGACTGCTCTACAAAAACATCCATCCCTCTTTATTATTTATCACATTAATATGAACTCTTTTGTCTCCACCTGGATCCAGTAGGGTAATTCCTCAGTTTTTCCAGTGATCTGACTGGTCAGTGTTCAGGCTGTCGATAGGTTTTGATCAGATCATCTGGAGTTAACCTGCTCTGGAGCATGTTAGCTGTGTTGCATTTGTTACCATGGTGATCTAGCACAATTAGAAGTGAGCCAGCTTCATGGTACCAGCCCAAAGTTAGCTGGATAAGCCACAAATCTCACCAACTTCTTTTTATTTGTTTAGTTCACAAAGTTTGTGTGCAGCCCCTTGTGTGAGAAGCTGTGGGCTGTGTTTGCGTGAGTGCGAGCAGCTAGAAGGCCTCTCATCTATGTTTTATATAGGAGAATAACATCTAGGCATAACAGAAACACAAAAGGCTTCTGGGGCAAATGCCACAGTCCTCAACAATCACTAACAGACACAAACAAACACAAGTGCACTACAGGCACTTTCTCTGATTTACAAAAACTCCTACTGTAACTCTTGCACTTTTCACCTGTGGCATGATGTTGATTTAACTCAAGGCCGCTTTCATGTGTGCATGTATGTGTATATCTCACCAAGGTGATATCTCTGGAGGCTGCAGCAGCACTCATGTGAAGACTGGGCTGCCGGACAGAACTACTGCAGTCCAAGGCTCTGGCGAATGTACCTACTGACCTGGAACACAGACGTGATGCAAAACATCTTAAAAAAATATTAATCTTACTTTCGATATCCACATGAGGTGTAGGATATAATTCGTCCCTGGTGTATCAGCAGTAGAGGTCTTCAAGTTCCTGACTTACCGAGCTACTACTAAGAACTGGTCAATCTGTTTCTCTGTCAGTGAGCTGTTGGGGTCCCAGACCTTCTCCTCTAGTTTCTCCAGTTCTCTTCCATCATTCTCACCTAAAGGAACCAAGAAAACATACACACAAGACAATTTTAGCCAAATGTTTTCCATAATTTCCCACAAAATACAGAAAGAGTCTGTGGATTTTACAATCAAATTAGATTTTCTTCCTGATTTTTTTTTCTCTAAAAGACTCCCTTGGTCCAGCTTTAATGAATCCTAGAGTTGAACAGGTGTGGTCTGCCAGCATGCAAGCAAACAGCCAACCTGCTTGAGCTTCTAACACATGTAAAAGAATTTCATTAACATGACTTTAATTAGAGAGATTAGTGTCCCATGGTGTCCTATCTGCAATTTCAGCAATTTTCCCCACTTACAAAGAATAAAAATCTGGCACAGTGCTTAACCCAGAATATGGCAGTAAAAGGTCACATTTAAACATAGTGAATATCACAAAAAGTCAGCCAAATATCTTTCAGCTAAATTCAGATGAAAATAATTATGGGCTTTATTATTATGGGCAACTTGGAATAATCAAAAACACTAATCAAATACCACAAAAAGTTCAAACCCAACAAACCAATCCTACTGCCAGGTTTTGTCAGAACCTGATACAGCTGGATTCTCTGTGCCACAGACCTCCAGGGCTTTCCAGAAATCATGACAAACATATCACCACCCCGGCTGCACTGAGTTTTATGTTCCTGCGTTACAATGAACATGACCACTGTAGTTTATTTTAAGTCAGTCCCACATACACAGTCATACTGCTGAAAATACTCACTGCTAAAACTCATATGTATAAACGCATGATTGCCCCAAACAATGACACTATTTGCTCATGCTTAAATAACATTTGCTCAAAAAAATAAAGTTATTTAGTCTTTAAAAAAAATGAATAAGAGTTCACCCTTCAGTAGGAACAAATGGGCTTGGTGCCGAGTGTCACAAACAGGGTAGGGAAGTCCGACAATACTGACAAGAGAAGAATGGACTAACCCATTATATATTTAAATATAAATGTGTGTATTCAACTTTTCTTATGCTTTACAAGACCACACTGAAAGCTAGAGTCAAATTCCTTGTCTGTTTTAAAATACTTGGCCAATTACTGCCTGTATGAGTGTACACATTACACTGTAGTGGAAGGAAATGTGATCTTCTATTGTCAAGAAACAGGAAGCTTTGTTGTTCTGTCATGCTGCGCATGGCTGCCGCCAACAACACAGCTGTCTGGTAGCTGTAAAAGCTGTGTTTCTGTCAAGTAACATCATGCACCCAACTCTTTCAACAATCTCCGGGTGACTGTAAAATCATCCTCTGTGTTTTTGTATTATGTATAATTATGCTCCCATACTGTGACTGCCATGGAAAACTAGGTTACTTGTTTTGTTTTTTTTTGTTTGTTTTATAACTTTACTTGTCAAAAACAGAAAAACACTTGGGGACTGTGGCAGAAAATCCCACTTTAAGTTCATGTAATGTTCCCGAACAGAGAAGCAACAAAAACTTTAAAAGTTGAACATTTTATTATGGCTCACGCTGCCCATTACTGCTGAAAAAGTGCTTAAAAGAAAGAAAGAAAGAAAAAACCTGGTGCACTGCAGGGTAAAAGGTCCTCTACAGGAAAATGTTAATGTGCTACTCTGAGAATAGGCCTTCATGGAAAACTCTGTCAATTAAAACAGCCAAGATTTAAATATGATGTACCTTCCTGCAGGAGGTCAGTGATGTCGGCCTGGTACTTGTTCCCAACACGGATCTCCCCTTTATCAGCCAGCAGGGTTTTTTGCTGGGGGTCATACACTAGCGAGTAGAAGAAGGCATCAAGACAGAGATGCAAAATAGAGGAGTGTATCTGTGTCTCCATTTGTGTGTGTGCATTTCTCCTCTGCTAATCTCTTGTCTCCTCATTACTGTATGTGAAAAGAACATTCTGGGTCAACATGCTGAATAATTCATTGGGAAACAAGAGTCTCTAAAGTCATAATTCTCACACAATTTCTAAGATAGCAACTCAAGTCTAACACACCTAATCCCAGTCATGTTGTTGGAGGTGATGTACATACCTCTCTGTCCAGGTAGGACTTCAGGGCTTCTGTCTCGTTTAGCAGTGTCACACAGCACTTCCCTCTGGAGTCCAGCAAAGAAGATGGGAAGGAAGGAAACGAAAGGGCAGAGTGTGAAGCAGCAAGAAAGGACAGAAGGATATGTGATTGGCAAGATAAAGACAGGTGGGAGAGAACAAGATAGAAGGCAAGAAAGAGTGAATATTTAATGTGAAACACAGAACACACAAGAATCCATGGGAGTCCATGGGATACCTGGTTATATAAGTACAAGATGAAAGCTACACACTCGGACCAAACCCCTCTCTGCCAGAGAACCTGTCCAAGAGGATACTTTGAAGTGAATGCACCTCAAAGTCTGAACCGACTACACTGATTTATTTCCAGGTGGGCCAGTGTGTTATTCGACAAATCATGGTCCAGTGTGCTCATTGCTCCAAACTGCTACTGTCTGAATTCTAATCTTTTACCAGCTAATTATTCATACCTCTGCAGCCTGAGGGAAATACAGTTTGGCAGGTATAATGTAATAAAATATAATGATGAACTCAAACACCAGGTGTAACCTCATTGCACATTGAACATTAAAGTTAGAAAATTTAATCAAACTTGAATTTGCACAAACAGTTCATCAGAATATTTTTATTTGAGCAGATCTGTGCTTCTTGCGACTCTTCAGAAATGTCAAGTAATAATGTGATAACAACTAGGTGGGTTGCCTGGAGCTTACTGATGAGCGCAGGCGGTTCTATATGTAGAAACAGCTTTCTGTTGACATTTAGTGCTCAACGTGCACACTGCAAATAGGTGGATTATTTTGTGCCTGACTCAATAGAAAGCTGGTCGGCCCAAACAGCTCTCAGCCATCTGGTCTTAGAGAAAATATGAGTGAAGGAAACAATTAAAGATCACATCATTATCAGGGGATTCCAGTTTTACAGTCTCAGGCACAGAATCCAGATTTCCTTTGCATACATTATTGCCATTAAAATAGTATGTTGCAGTTTACGCAGTAATACTGAAGGTAAAACAGTCAGAGCAGTCAAACTGGTTCTCTAGGTTCATTAAAATAACTGATCATCTAGTAAATCATTTAGTCCCATAGTACCTTGAATACCTTAGTTAAAGCTTTACACTCAATGTCTATTTTATTATTTACAGTACACTAGGGGTGAAATGGTTACCGGTGTCACTGTAAACCATGGTAACATTTCCAACAGTTAGTATTACTACTTCAAATTTTAAATGTCATTAAAACCATGGTTAATTACCTCACTTTGATAAACTCCTCCGCTGAAGAGTTAAATACTGTCCAGGATCAACCAAAGTTAGCTAGAGGTTCTCAGACACAAGCACCATATGCAACGTGGGTGTGTTTGGGTCATGAAGACATGTGTGAGCATATTTTGGTTTTTACAAGAGTCCTGAGGGAGATTTAATTCAAGAATATAAATGTGTGTGTGTGTGTGAGAGAATTTTTGACCGGTTGCTCCTCTGATGTATTCTACGGTGTAAAACCACAGTAACCTGTTTCTAATTCCAGTGCTGTTACCCACTTAATTCTGATTTATATTGAATTTAATGATAATCTATTAGAAAATTCCAGGGAACATTTTTTGGTTGCTTGTTTATCCATACATAAAATGGATAAAGAAGCAACAGTAACCTAAAAAAAATGTCTTTATTCATAGCCTGGGACTGAATGGGTACAAAATTCTAGGTAGAAACAGATGCACAAAAAGTTCAATAAAAAAAGAAAGCCTAAAAACAACAACACATCATTTAGTGAGGTGTACTGCAGTGTACCTGATGTGCGTGGCAGGTAAAGACTCCAGCTGGCGGGACAAGAATAGCTCTCTGTGTCTGAGCTGATGTTTCTGTTTCTCGGGGAGGTCCACCATCTCTGGATTCTCCATCTCCTCCTCCAGCTCCCCTGTGTGGTGAAAGGGGGCAAAGGTCAAACATACGCACATTAGATGAGGTGGAACAATGGTGTCCATGGGGACAAAAGAGGAGGAAAATACATCTGTTGCAGCGAAATAGTCTCAGATGTACAACAAGCAAATATAACACACAAGGATGCACACTTGATGAGCTGGAACAAAGACGTCGCCAGGGAGAGGGAGACTTGTATATACAAGCATTTTACATAAACTCTCACACATGATATCTTCATCCAGTTTGCAGTATAAATCCAACAACCTCAAGGTTTCCTCTTCTGATTCTGCATAGAAATGGGACACCAGTGCAGCGTTTAGAGCTGAAACAATCACTTAGTTGATGAGCGGAAAAATATTTAGCACCTATTGTGACAATTGATTTTTTGAGCGGAAATGCCAAACATTTGCAGGTTCCAGCTCTTCAAATGTACAAATGTATTGCTGTTCTTAGTCACATATCATTGTAAGCTGAATGTCTCTGGGGTTTTGGACCGTTGGCCCAACAAAACAAAAAAGGTATTTGAAGATGTTATTCTGGGCTCTAGGAAACCATAAAATAAACTTCAGCCGTTTTACAGACAGAACTAATCGAGAAATTAATAGACAATGACAATAATTAGCTGCAGCCCTCGTACAGTTTAATCTCCTAACTTATCCATGTAAAACAGAAAAAAGACACACAGTAGCTTCCATTATGAACAAGCCAACTTTTAACTCCTAGTGGGATTATTGCATTTGTTTCCAAGCCTAAAAACTTCCCTGTGTGTCCCTTAACACAACCAATAAGATCTTTTCATTAGACCCTTCCTACCAGTTAAATGCCTACAGTGCATCTTTCAAGCTGCACACACCCAGTTTGGAAGACAGGCCTCAAAAATTTTTCTCAGACTTGAAAAAGCTCCTCCAGAGCCACAGATGCAACCGTTTCCACGGACTGGTTAATATTCTACCTGACAAGAAACTGACCTTTATGTGTAAAACTGCTTTCTCTTTAGGTTTGTGTCAATTCAGCTAACTTCTCTCGAGTCAGTTTCTGCAGGTATATCTCAGATTATGTCTCGCATGCAAGGCAGACTGTTAGGACATGGATTTTTCCAGACCAGCTCCGGGAGACTCCTGGTGTCTTGGTTTAAAAAGAAAATCTTGGAGAATGCATGTCACAATCACAGATTACACGTAGAAAAAGCAAGAACTGAAGGCACTGAGTGAAAAAGAATGGATCCGAGAGCAGACGGACTGTTGGAGCCCGTTTTAGTAGGTCATGTGTCTGAGTCATCCTAAAGAATAGATTTCACTGCTGCTGATAGTCCACATCCCGACTGCACACACTCTATAAGATGGAAACACAGGGGGGAATTGAGAAAAGAGGAGGCGAGATGGACAAGAAAACATAAAACAAACCGATAAAACAGGCGAGAAGAGCACAAAGGGAGAAAGTGTGACAAAAGTGATAAAGAGCAAGGGAACATCAGATGAAGACAGAGCGATGTGAAGACAGTGAGGAAGAGAGAGGGAGAGCAAGAAGGGGAGCACCAGTGAAATCAGCAGGGGGAGCAGGAGAATGAGACAAAGACAGGTCGAGAGAGAGAGAGAGCGATAGAAATGGTAGAGAGAGCACAGAAGTGAAAAGGGAAGAGAGAGAGCAGTCAGTACGTGCTCCAATTCATTTGGACTTTCATTAGAGGAAGCGAGACAGAGAGAGGGAGACGGGGAGCAGAACAAAAGCAATCAAGGGATTTCCAGGAGAAGAGATGTGTGGCCAAAATCAATAAGTACTCCTTCACTCCCACACGCTGCTCAGCACTCAGCACCCAGCAGACATACTAGTAGTGCTCAGGCAGAGCGCGCTCACACACACAAACACACAGCATGAGCCTCGCTCCATCCTCTGCCATGTAAAAGCAACAAAATATAGACAGCGATTAATAATAAACAAGATTCAAGAAAAAGAAAATAAGTTGGAACTTGTAAGGAGGTGAGACAAAATGTGAGAGAGGTAAAGTAAACTAGGTATGTGTTAAAACATAACAAAAACATGCTTTGCAAATACCCAATATTTGGTGTGTATATACATGCTTTAAACGTACTTTACATTTTTAGACATTTACTGTTGTCCCAGTAGCTACAGCCAAGCGGCTCATAATGAGTTCAAACCTGGCGGTGCTGCTCGAGTTTCCCCTGTAAGCTGCTGCATTAGCATAAACATCCATAACACTGCAATACTGAACCAAATGGCACAAAGAGTGGATTAATTATTTGCAAGACTGGCTTTTAATGTGAAGAGAGGAGTTAAAACTTGGATGTGTGTAAGATGTGTGTATTTTTCTGCACTATCCACATAAATAAATAATAAGAAAGAAAATGAATGGAACAAAAATAAAATGTATATTGGTAGAATTTTGTTGTTACATAAAGCAGCGGCCCCCAACCTTTTTTGTACCAGGGACCAGTTTCATGCATGACAGTTTTTCCACGGACCGAGTAGAGGTTGGGGGGGTTCCAATTACAATAATTCTACACTATAATATCTACTCAACATAATGCAGAGTCAGTGGGAGCCCTGGGCTTGTTTCCCTGCAACTAGATGGTCCCATTTGAGGGTGATGGGAGACAGTGCCACTCGAATTGTGTTCTGTATATCCAATCTACTCCGTAACTAAGAATGATGCCTTCAGCACAGACACATTTGTTGAAGTGGTGGCCCTCAATAACTGGTTTTGTCCTTCATGTTCACGATTTTTTTTTCCTTTCAAGAAATTCCAATTCTTTTAACGCAGGGTGTTTTGTCTCAATGTAATGGAGCATTTTTGAGGCTTTCATGGCTTCATTAGCTCGTCGGTCACCGCAAATTATGCAAAGCAGGTGTGGAGCTTGTGTATCACTGGTTGCGATGAACCCGTATCTTAGGCAGGAATCATGGTATATTCTTTTAAATGCAGCTTTCTTTTTGCTGGCAGTCTGTGATCCTTCTGCTGTCCCATCGTTTTCTCATTCCTTCCCGAATAAGCTCTCCAGTGAATTTTGTTTTTGGCTCATTTTGTTTTTTCAAGGGTTAACTTGTGTCGCTGATGCGTGAAATGGCGTGCCAGAGTCAAGTGCGGTAGTGAGGCAAAGGCAGAAACAGTTGTTTTTCAAAATAAGATCCGGAAGACTAATGAAACAAAAATAACTAATTTTAACCACGAAATTTTCTTTGCAGCCCGGTACCAAATGATCCACAGACCGGTACCAGTCTGGGGACCCCTGACGAAGCATATGTACATTATACTATATATAAATAAACTATTTTGTTACAGATCCCATGTTTTTTTTTTTTTTGAGAATTGTGAAATATATTACCCCATTCTACAGTAAACCTGACTGATGCATTTGTTCTTTGGGGGTGTTATGCCCACACTGGATGGCCAATAATAGTGATAGGACAGGAAATGAAGGCAATGGCATACAACAGATGTCCCCAGCTGGTTGTGAACTGGAGCTGCTGTGGTTCATGGTTGGTGCCTTAACCCCTAAACTATCAGTATGCCAGTTAAATGCAAGTTGAAATTAGCTTTTCAACCTCCAGTGAAAAACAAGAAGGAACATGTTCTGTTGGAGGTTGGAAAAAAAAGCTGTTTGTCTCGTTCACATATTGCATCTATTGCATATCTGTTTGTCTTGGAAGAGGGATCTCTCCTCTGCCACTCATCCTAATATTTCTTCCTATACTCCCCCATTGAAAGCTTTGTTATAGAGTATGTCTCAAACCAAACTGAGGGTATAAATATAAAGCTGTCATATGCCCTTTGAGCAAAAATGTACAAGTTGTAATTTTTGGAGTATACTAAATAATATCAACTTTATTTCTGAGCTGCGTCGCAGCATGCTTAGACGTATGTGTTACTCTACTTCTGTATGCACATGTCCATCAGTACATGCACACACACAAGCAGGATTATGTAGTGGTCCATCAGCAGCCTAGCCCTTCCAAAGGGCTGCTGTGGGTCCTTTAGCAGCAGCTCAGCTCCCCAAATTCAGTCCTTCTTTCCTCCTCTGAGCCAATCTCCAGGCAGCGCACCCACACCACACTCTCTACAAATTGGCTCTCCATCTCACCTGTCCCAGCCAATTATCAATTATTGATGAATGGGGTCGCCTTACTGGGCTGAGAGACAGCAGGGGGAGGGAAAGCAGAGGAAAGAGCATGCCTGCGGGTGAGAAGAGGAGGTGAGGAGAGAGCAGCAGACCGTTATTATGTTAACAAACTGACTGCACCGCTATGATACAGTGTGCATTTATATGGTGGTGGAGGAACTGGAGAGAGAAGCAGACAGCTACAGACATGTAGCTTCACCTTACAAATTATTATTGGTCAAAAGGAAAATAACAATTTGCTCATTCCTACTAAAGTTGAGAGAGTTCAGTCAATATAAAATCAATACTACGATGTGAGAAAAAAGTTTGGGTATGGTAATATTGTGATATAATGTAACGTAAATATTATTTTAACCTGGTCTTAAAGGCTCACAATACAAACAGAAAAGTTCAGAACAAGCTACGCATGTTCATGTGAGCGCCAGTAGTATCATTTGAATGTGGTGTATAGTGTTTGTGACGGAAAGAATTAGCTTTCTTCCGCACAGACAAACTGTCAGACACAGATGTACGACTATGCAAAGTTTTTAGGCATTTCAGATGTTTAGATTCTTATCCATCACGCAACACCATCAGAGACCAACACCACTGGTCTCAAATTCATTCAGCAGCATGACAATGAACTGAGTACAGAGACAAGAAGAACAAGGAGTCCTGTGACACATGGTATGGGCCCCAGAGAGCCTTGATCATCATCATGGAGTCAGTCTGGGATTACATGAGGAGAGAGAGAAGACGCTGAGGCAGCTTAAATCCATAGAAATATGGTTCATTCTTCAAGATGCCTGTAACCACCTACTTGCCAAATGCCTTGTGTTACTTGATGATTTTGTGTTATTTAATAAAATAAAACTACTCACCAATACTTTTGAAAGCATCCTCACTTTACTTTTAGTGCTTAAAAGTGCACACTGGCAATCCAGCTAAATTGTGGGTCTCACAAATATTTTATTATTTTTTTTAATCTTCAAAATTAAAAGTGCCAGAGTGCTGGATCCTGTACATCCCACAGTGAAACTCAATAGCGCCTTTTTGTCAGATGGCCTCATCTTTCAAAGTCCACACCTCCAGCTTGTAATGCAGGTTTTCCATTAAAAATTTGTGACAACTTTGTCAACATTTTCCCAGACACAACTTTTCCTCCAGAATCACAGAATACATTTTTCCAGTCATTTACAGGCTTACTAATCATTCTCATGACATTAGAAAACTGATGCCAGAACTAACTGATGTTTTAAACATGATCACTGGAATTCTCCTTTAAGAAACCAGAGCCGCACTTCTTAAACATCATGAAACCAGGATTTAGCAACATATAATCTTAACTTGCAACCTAGTTTTTTTTCCAGGGGTTGTTCAAGACTCCATGACAAAGACCAAGCACAGAGTATCTCAGACAACAGATGTAAGTGCAAGCCCAGGTTGAACAACATAGCAGGGAGTTGGGAAGGAATCCAATAAACACCTAAGTGCATGTAAACATGACTTTTAGAGTAATCACTTTGCTGCAGAACATGTAAAAGTGTAAAACCTAGTTTTTTCCAGTAACCTTGTTTCTCTAGTGAATGTAAATCTAGTCAAAAACATACACAAGCTCATTAAAAATAACAGCATTTTAATTTACTAAAATAATGGTTAAAGAAAGTCCCAGAACTGCATAATTGCTTTTACACTGTATGGAGCACACAAGGGTATTTTTGGCATAATTTTCCTCTTTCGTCCCTGACAAACCGAGCACTGAATTTTCTATGAAGTTAAAACTAATAAGACTCATGAGCTGCTTAGCATTTATTAACCACAACATAAAATCCCCATGCGCTTCCTAACAGGAACTACAACAGTGTCGACATGAGGAACGGAAGCTGCCTTCACTGTGTAATCATTACAGCTGATAAAAATACAGCTCGTGCAGCTTTGCAGCCTGGGATGCGAATGAAAAATGTATCCTCCCACTGTAGGACCCATTGTAACACATTATAATAATTCTTGTCAAATAGAGAGTGGTTGTGTAACTTACAACAACGCCGCTAGTGGCAGGGTGAGGGGTTGTATTTATACAACATGGCCCATTCTGAAGCCCAGGCAAAAAGAAACCAGTGGCTGTAATACACAGGACTCAGCCTGCGACCAGCTTGACTTAGCTGAACTTTGTGCATCAGTTCACTGGCAACACTGTTGTCTATTGTTTATGGGAGGCAGAAGCCACATCTCAAAAATAGAAAAAGGTTTGACTCATGGCAAATTCAAACGTCTGAAGGGAGGGGCCAGGGAGGTAAAATGCCAAGTTCGCCACAGAAGCTGGCCACTCAGGAGGCTGCTTCGGTCACAGGGGAGGGGCTTAAGCCGGAGCTGGAGGCCCCATTGAGGGAGTGCTCAGAATCTCTGCAAGCTAAATATTTGATCAATGACTCACATGAAGACACACAGGCTCATATGCACGCACACACACACACACACACACACGCCATTCTCCACTGATCCATAACAAACTGAATTAAATGTACCTCTCCAGCAATTCCTGTGACAGGGCCCAGAACTTATGTTCATCACATACACACAAACGTAGAAAGGCATAGAAAAGCGTATAGCGTACGGCTGCAGCTATAGAAACACAAACAGGATACAGTCCACACCCATGTGGTGCACAGCTATTCCTGTCGTGCATTTTCTACATATTGTAAATGTCTGGAAGTCCCTTACCGAACTGCAGCTGGCAGAGCACAGCCAAAACCAATCCAACTCGTACCATGCAACATGAAGGAATCCATACACTGAAGCCATAGTTTTAAGGACTGGGCCTTAAAACTACAGTTATAATACTTCATCGGTCTGTTAGCAGACACACCAGAATAACCAAAAGTCACAGACAAAAATAATTGTGCAGTTAAAGTAGCATATGTACAAGTGCACATAAACGCTGCTCAAAAGACAGGCCTTCTTCAAGGGACAGACACATTGACCAAGTGATGCTGTGTGGTCCGACAGAACAATCCTGCCTGCCACAGATACACCCTCCAGACCTCCTCTGTGGTTAAGAGTCACACAAACACACACAAATACACACAGAATTGCATTCACATTCATAAACAGAGCACTTGACAGTTCAAGCGCACACACACACACACACACACACACTGATACACTTTCACACCCAAGAGACAACATTTACTGTGCCACACCCAGTCAAAGACTAGCAGTCGGTTTCTGTAGTTGGACTACAGGATGGCAGTGCTTTTATTCCCACTCTGGTTTAATTTTTGCACATTTGGACTTAACTCACTCCTGCTCCTCATCCTGCTTCTTTACCCTTTGAGTTCAGGTGAGCTGTGCCCTGAAGGAATCATTTCCAACTGACCACTGAGGAAGAGGTGACCCAGACAACCAAGAATGGTTCTGGCCGATTCAGGCCTTTAAGTGATACATTTTTGTTACTGGCAACAACAAGTCTTTTTCCTCACCATTTCTTTGACCACTAACCATCTTAAACTGACCTATCGGTATTTCCCTTTCTTTCCAATCACCATTTTTTGAAGAAGTAGCCTCTAATAATACACAAAGTCTGTTCACATAGAACTAAAGAAAGCAGGCATAATGCCGCCCCGTGATCTTTTTGCACAGATACCGGCATCAGAGGCGTAACGTTTGACATCCAGCCTGACATATAACACAACACATCAGAAATAGAAAGCATACTGTTAATGATGCCTTCCAATCAACAGCGGTGGATAAACAGAGTATTGCACAACATGATTCACACTCAAAGTTGTTTTGCATAATATAAAACATGTTACTCATGGTCATGGATTCTGTTTCTTGTAAGCAATATTAACATTAAAACCCCTAGCGGCACACTGCAGAAACCATGTCATCAAAACTTCATATGTCAATGCACACAAGCCCAAAAGAGGCCAAAACGGAACAGTCACGCCAACGCTACTATCTCTCGTCGCAGATTAAAGGAGGGTCAACACTGACCTCCCCATACCAGCTTGGTAATTGTTTATACAAAACGGTATGGCCAATAATTGGCGCAATAATCCTGCCTTGAACGGGCAGTGTCTTGCTCCCTGTAAAACATCCTGGTACTCAGAACATTAAAAGGCCACATAATGCTGCTTGAGGCAAAGCCCATTCAAAGTTGGCCAGCTGTTCAAGATACTGCAAAGCTTGCTCCAAACTCTGGAGAACAACCCCACGTTCAAGTACATGCTACGCAGCCACGCTTTAACAGGGCAGAGAAGGGCACACATGCACAGACAGACACACACAGGTGTTGTCATATTGATACAACCAGCAGATCGAATACTGTCTGCAGTCAGGCTCGTCAGAGGAGGGGCTGCAGTCTGGGCTGCTCCTCTCGGCTCGGTAACAGCATACAAACTGTCCAATTTTGTATCAGCCTTTGATAAAATCTGGTGTGCATACAAGCTTTACAATCAAGCTTCATAACAAGCAGCGCTGTATTTTCCAGTTGGGTGGAATCTTATTCAACTGGATTTGAAGACACTACAACTTTGCAGTACAAGATAACTGCCAAAAAGAAGTGGTAAATCATGGCTGGTGTGTTTTTTGATGCCTGATGCTTGCTGGCTGGGTTATGGGTGGTCACTCACTTGCATGTTTATCTGCCAGGGCGATGAGTGTGCTGGAGATGTCCCTGCGCCGGTAAAAACACACCACTTTGGCCTCCACGTTCCCATTGGCTGTCTGCAAACCAGAGACAATCGGCGTTACCACGGCAACAAGTGGTGCCACACACAGAGCACCCACACACGCACACAGATGAAAACCCATAGATGAGTTTAACTTTGGCTGAAAATGCAGCGTGAGAATACAGCAACTCTTGAAAATCGTAATAAGTGCTGCAGTTATCAGGACAGGAACGCTGGGGGTTGTCCGTGTGTTCCTAAGATTAATTTCTGATTGATTGATACAAAAATGTTTATAAATTGGGAAGAAAATCGACCACTGGGTAAAATTACTTAAAGTCTAAAAAGCAATAAGGCTGATTTAGAAATTGATTTGCAGCCTTTAACTCTTTTTGACTCCCTACATATAAAATAACACAGAATGAGGGTATATTGCAGTATTGATAAACTGATGCTTAGTGTGTGAATTAAGTAGTGCAGATGCTGTAGATATTAAGATTTTCTACTCTGGCAATATGAGTTCCATATTTGAAAAAGGGGCTATAGAACAGAGAAACAATAATTTGCTCATTTATGACCATGTTAAAAATCAAACACTTTACAAATGAAACGCAGAGCACTTCCACAGTCTTCCTTTAAATTTTGCTCTTTTGATGCATGACAGACACTTAGGCAAGTACAGACGCAGCTGTAGTTAATATAAAGGTGTAAGGTTAAGTAAGATTCTCTAACATTTCTTTGTGTATGCAAGTGGAAACTGGCAACATTACAGGTCAAGTGCAGTAGAACATGACAGTGGATATTAAGAAAGAAGCTGAACAGATTTACAGTCACCACTAAGACTTGAGTACAGGTGTAAAAACAGAGAAAAGGCATATCTGTGATCATAAGGATGCATTTTAAAACATGTGGCAGCCAAGCAGCAAAATTAAGAACTTTATAAAGGTTTTCTGCTGTGTTCAAAAAGTTAAATTTGAGACCTTTTACAACATTTTTAATGCTACATAAATGCAAATTAACTATTTTACAGCCATACTGGTTTGAAAGCTGTCACTGGAAATGTGTAGGGATGATACAGCCTACACAGATTTAATTACAAGTGTTTTAAATCAAGTTTTATCAGCACTTCCCAGTGGTGTGTAACAGTAATTCTTAATTATATCATTAATCAATTATTAAACATGACCTGGGTATTTATCACAAGATGGATAGAATAACCAGATCCTTGTGTGTCCCAGAGATCTTTTGAAAATGCTTTGTGTCCCACACAGCACACCGTTTTCTTTCAGCTGCACTACAAAGCACTGGAAGTCTTGATGAATAGCTTTTTTTAAATAAATAAATAAAAAAAAGATGAACTAATTGTAATCATTACAGCTGGTCACAAGTGATCTGGAAGGTAATTAGTTTACAAGTGTTCAGCAAGATGATGCCAAACAACCTTCTGCATTTATTACAACAGCATGACTCTAAAGTCTGGGAGCTAAACTGAGCTGTTAGGCTATTTACAAAACAATATAAAGTCAACGGTGTATGGAGACCACATGGTATATATCACTAGACAAAATCATACATACTGACTTTTTTCATTGAAGTATACAGAATTTTGATACATTATCCCATCCCTAATTTTCATGAATGATCATCTACAGTTTTTTTTTCTTCACTGATCAATCAATCAATCAATCATCTGGGCTAAAAAAAAGCCAGAAAATAGTTTTAAAAATTTTTAATTATTGTTCCCATGTCCTAAAGACCAAGGTGACATCTTCAAATTGTTTGTTGCCAAACCAACAATCTAAGTCCAAATAACATCCCGTTTACTAATATATACAACAAAAAACATCACCAAATGTCCCTTTGTCCAACCAACAGTCCAAAGATACTATCATATATAACAAATATACACATAAAATCTTTACATTTGAGAAGCCAAAACAATCAACTAAATTACTGAAACAATTCTCTTTCCTTTGCATCAGTAAGAAGGCAGTTTTTAAACATCCCAGGGTGTAAAAATTCTAAAATGATCACAAAAGACAATCCACACAGGTGAGAAAAACAAATTTAAAAGATATTCAACAAAAGGCAGTAGTTATTCTACACTACAAACTAAATTTAGGTTTTTGTTTTATAGATACAATCAGGAACACACTTAAAAAGAGTTATAAAGCTCTGGGACAGAGACATGAAATCCCAGTGCACTGGATTTAAGAGTTCAGTTGAACCTAAGAGACGCACTCACCTTGTTCAGCTCCTCTATCCTCCTGATCAGCAGTGGGTTACTGGATGAGTTCTCAAAATAAACATAATCTGCAGAGGGAAAGCAAAAAGGAGAAGGGGGAAGAGGCAGAGAAAGCAGAAATGGAGAAAAAGAAGGGGGGAGGCTTGTCAGTCACTATTGCAAGGTCATCCAAACATTCAGGGTGACTACCAGTCGGACCACACTACGACAACGTAATTAGTCAACAGGAAAGTATAACACAGACATCCATAAAATGTTGGTTTAATCCAATTACACATATTTCATAGAGGATCCAGTTGTAGCTGGGAGGTCTGACACATGCTCTTCCATTCAGACTTGTCTCACTTCTCCGTTCATTGCTCTTGCGTCTCTGTTTGCATGCACGGTGTTTGTATTTTTGTGTGTGTGTATGAGAGACTGCAGAAGCTTTACCACTTTACTGTGCATTCAAGTGAGTGTGTGTGTGTGTGTGTGTATGTGTGTTCAAACAAATATCCCCAAACTACTCCAGGCCCTTTGGAAGCTTAGCTCTCACCAGGATGTCCCCACAGGCCCAAGTCTTGGTAGGGTGCCTGGTCTTAGCCCTGCATGCGTCTTGGCTGAGCACTGTCAGACTAAACCCTACACTTGATAGGCTGCCTGGAGCGAGAGCTATCCTCCCTTTCCCTAAACCTCCCCCCTTCCAATCCTCACACACTCCCCTAGGCCACCATCTTCTTGACCGAGTAGGCCAGAGATCACCCCGCATTCCACCAGCATAACCACAATACACAATGAACCTTGCTTTTATTTCATGCAACATTGTTTCCAGCTCATTGAAAGTAAAAATGAACAGCAAATATTTTCATTATGCTTCAATTAGCAGATTTTCTCCACTGATCCAATTTATTGTTTTGTCAATAAAACAAGAAAAATTGTGAAAAATTCTTTGCATTTTTGCCTAAAAATGACCAAAACTGATTTACTGATTATCAAAATAGTTGCTTATTATTTTTATTTTCTCATCTCATCACTGCAGTTCTAATTGTTTTCAGTTCTCATCCAATTGTTCTGATTCCAGAGAAATGCACTGAATTATTTAGGTTATATCACAGCTGACTAGGGCTGAAAGAATTTATGTTCTTGACTGCAGTTCCGGTTTGGGGGCTGTTTCACTCTATGAAGAGTGAACACTGTGTCTGCTAACATCAGCAGTCCAATAAGAAGTCTCAAAGAAGAGGCAGATACACAAACATCTCTGTCCACACAAGGGGCACAGCTTCTCTATTGGAAAACCTTTTGGTCCTCTATCGCTGGTGGTATTCTTCCCTCCACCCACACAGACACAGTGCAACAGCACAAGTTCATGCCCTTGTCTAAAGCTTTGCAAATGAAATCGTAAATGTAAAATGACTGATTCAGGATTTCCACAGTGTGCACCAAGTTAACTGTAAGACTTCTTATGACCTGTAATACCAGACAGAATGACATTTCATAACTGTTTCACAGTCAAACCAATGGAGAACCACACATTTACTGTTATAAAAAGTTATAACTAATGTGACTGTCTATAGCAGGTGAGAAAAAAAAAACTATTAAACAACTTTACAAATTAAACTCAAGACTTTTAGGTACCTTGTTGCTTTTTAAGACTTTCATACTGCAGACACCCTGCTGATTGAAGTAGCTAAAAGCTGATAGTTGGTAGATATAGGAAACATTTAATGAAACAATTCCAAAATATTTTGTAATTACCAAAAGATGTAAGAACTTAAAACTTCCCCTTATGGGTTAACCAAAGCAGCAGCATCGTGCCCGTCGTCTCTTCACCCTGTATCAGCTTGTTACTAGACTCCACTGCCACTGTGACATCTTCACCCCACTGCTGAATATCAAATAGGCCAACTTGAAATTGACCAACACCAAAGCTGAAGATGAGATGTCTTTTCTAAAATGCAGGGGGAGGCAAGAGCCTGGAGGTCAGAGGTTAGACAGACTGGCTTGTGTCTAGTCGTGTGATCACCAGACGGAAAATGTGGAGCGGAAAAGTGAGTCAGACGCTGTCTTTTTATTGAGCAGGGTTGAGGTGTCCTCAAGCAACTAACGTGATTAGAGCTACACAATTAGCTGATTAATTGATAAGTCACTCACAAGAAAGTTAATCAGCATCGTTCTCTTTTAGGGCACTCAATCTCTGACTTCTACCTTAAAACAAACACACAAAAGATATTATTTAACACTCGATTAAGCATAAATACAACAAATTTTGACTGCCGGTTAATCATCTGTCAATTTTCTGAGAACAATGCCAAACATTTGACGCTTCAAGCATTTCAAATGTTAAGATGAGTTGCTTTAGCTTGTCTTAAATGCTAGTTTTAGATTGACCATTTCAAAATGAAGCAGACCCACATGTCAAACATTCAGTGTTGGCATTTCTGGGCTGGCAACAGCACGTTTTTCCGTACATTTAGAGCGACTGTGAAGATGGGATACTAGGAATAACTTGATGTCTTCCATTTTCCTGGCTCAGGAACTTCGGTTACCAAGAATGGAACCACTTAGGTTCCACTCCAGCAAGAAGAAATGGAAAGAAAAGGGTTAAGTGACAGTCAAGAGTGGGATGTTTGAGTGTTGGAGTTTCCACCATGTGAGGAGCTGAAGCCTGGTAGAGTACAAGCTGGAGAGAAACTCAAAATGAGAGCAACAGAAAGAGAGAGAGGGGGCCTGCAGGCACCGAGCAGCGTCACTCAGTCTCTCCATTTCCCATCAGCCCTCCCGCCACCTCAACCCGCGTATAACAACTCCCTCCCGGCCCCCATCCCATACTGTCCATCCCCCGCTCCCAGCGCCAGCCTATCAACAAGCTCCGGTGCCTGTGATGTCACAGTGCAGTCAAATTTTGTGTAAGCCAATCAAGGAATGTTACTGAGCCCCAAAAGAGAGAGTCTGCAGGGCTAATTCAAAGCAAGCCTGAGAGACAGACGGCCAGAGAAACGGTGATGAGAAGGAAAACATGAAAAAGCTGATTGAGTCTGGAAGAGATACATGGACAAAAAGAGGGACGTGAGACAGGACACAGCCTAACAGAGATGCTAGTGAGCAACTGTGTTAACAAGACATTTAAAATAGAAGCAAAGACCTGAAATAGAAGGCAGCAAAAAGATATATTAATTAACATGAAAGTGGAAGACTATCTAGAATATCCTTCATCATTAAAATTAAAAATGTAGAGCTGCAACAATTAGCCAATTAATTGATTGACAGAAAATTATAGACTGATAATCAATTAATGTTTGTCTTTTTTTTTTCAAACAAATATCCCCAAAACTTGCTGGTAAAAGCTGTTCAAATGTAACACTGCTTCCAGTTCATGATGCACGATTGTAGCCTAAAACTAGTAACTCCAATCCATCACCTTAGGCTGAAAAAAATTATAGCAGTATTCACTATTTTCTACATTTTATAGACAAAAAAAAAAGATCATAACATTAACCTGCAGATTGATGGATAATAAAAATAAGTGCCCTATAGGCAAGATACATACTCATACCTATCTTACCTGTACATGCCACCTGTGCCTACTTGAAAAACGTACAGAACAACAGCTGAGGCTGTTAAAACATCTTTGTGTGGTTCAGCATGGAAAATCTATGGCCCTGTCTCTGCGGACACATGCAAGTTGTTTAAATATGAATTTAAAGTTTGGATGATGGTCAGCCTCACTGATGGTGGCCATAAATGATACAAATGTTTTCTACTACACCTTAGTGCAGCAGATCCCAGTCTGTGACAAACTACTACATCTGGAAACCTGTGCATTAGTGTACAACAATTAGTCATATGAAGTAAGAGAGTCCATTTTAAGCTAAATTGCAAGCTTCTCTGATATGAGGATTTGCTGCTTCTCTCCATTTATACATTTAATATTTTAGGATACTGGACTGGTGGTTGGAGAAACTACATCCGAGGACATCATCTTAGACTGGAAACTGCAATGGATTTTTCACTATTTTCTGACATTTCAGGCACCAAACAATAAAGTAATAAGGAAATAACCAACATAGACCTTGATACCAAAAATAACTGTTGGCTGCAGCCTTGTGATATATCCTCAAGAAAGAGCATCTGTCACACTATTTGCCAACTTTGGTTATCACCTGATAGAGAATTAACATACAGAATTAACGGTGGCACCTCAGCCCAGCCCTTGCAGACATCCAGTATGGGGAATGCCAGCAGCAAAGCCTAATGGGAGCAGAATCAAGCTAAGTACTAAGAATGGGCATGAATTCTGTCCATGTAACTGCTAATATAATACCTACACGTTGTTACTAGTACTAAAAGTTTTTAGGATGCCTTATTTTGGTGATATAAGCACTTTTGATAACAACGATAACAACAACAAAGCAAATTTAATTACATGATCTTAATATAAACAGGTATACAGGAACTTTTAAATAAAACATTGTATTACACTAAAATATTACAAAAGACCTACAAAAAATGATGATGTTCTCACAGTTAGAGCAGCTGTGCACTCCTTTGGCATGTGACAATTTTAAATTCTGTGTTTGGACACAACCACAACAATCGTGCACCATTCCTGTTGATATGAACTCATTGTCCACCAGACAGCAATGATTCCCTGTTGTTTCAGGAGCAAGTTACACTGTCCAGTTCAATCGGTACCAGAGTCCTGAGCGTTGCTACACAGCTATGTTTCAATTTCAGATCACACTGAGCCGTCCATCACACTCATGCTGCCAACCTCCAGAAGATCTTGGTGACTATAGTTGAGCTTCACTGTATAAACACTCCTTTTCAATTTTATTTTACAGTTGAAGACATGTAAACTGACAAAAGCGCTGATTATTTGGTTCGTGAGAGGCCGCTGCATCTACATGTGCTGCCATGGCAACCAATACTCAAATTTTAATCCAATCTTACATGCTTGACAATTTTCAATATGCAAACACAATTCATTTGGGATTCAAAAAAAAAAAACTAGTGAGACTCCACACACAGCCATATTAAGCACAGAGGTGGTGTCAATAAAGAGCATGCTATATAGGACAGTATTATAAAGGGCTGGGAAACAACTAGGAAGGGAAATGGAGAGGCAGGAAATGAGAACATGAACATCTGCCCACACAGCCTATCTCCTCCATAGACCCACACCCAAGCCAATGCTTACTCACACAAACATACACTGAGTGTTTGTCATCACAAGCAGCAACCATGGATGAGGCTACAACTCAGGACTGTCATAGTAGGGGGGAGTTTCAGTGGTAGCGGCAGGTCATTTGATCTTCTGAAACAATCTCAAATCTTGTTTTCACACTGATATCACTCACTTTTGATCACCCTAGACACGGCTGCACACATCTGTTCAGGGAGACCAGTTCTTCGGGTGAACATCCACTTTCTGACATTAGAAACATGTTTTTTTACTGAATCCTCTGTCACTCTTTTGACCTAAGATACATCTAACATTAACACTAGAATATAAAATATTCCATAAATGCCAGCTATTTTGTTTGGTGATGCTTAAGCAGAGATGGATTTGATCTCATAAAAAGTAACTGCAACTTAACACCAATCGCACACAGTGTGCTGCAGCAGCTACTGCAGCTTGTGCTTATTCACATTTGATTAATCAACAAGTGTGTACATTTTATACAAAACAGATCTTGAATTCCAAATAACTGTGGTCCTACCAAGTTGCCACAAGGAAGCTAGCTTGTGGTAAAAACCGTTTACTGTGACTAGATGTATGTGCAGCTTAGCCTCTTAAGAAATGTGATGATGGGGACTCTGCTGAATTAATCTAATAGCTGCCATGTGTCTGTTCAAATGGCTGTCCTGAATTTGGCAGGATAGCAGTGAAACAAGCCTCACATCTTCACTTTGTGGTACAACCACCAGACTTGCGAGAGAGACAACTGCAATGTAGGAAATTAACACCAGTCAACAGCCAAACCAAGTGTGGGCACTGTCAAAGTTTGTAAGTTAGTCAGTTTGTAGATTAGTAAACACTACAACACCTTTAAGCAGGTTCTGAATCATAAGTGGCAGCATGGAGAAAATCCTCACCAGTTTCTAGCCAAAAGAAATGTGGGAACTGACACCAAAGTTCTTCACTTTTTAAGTTAGTAAACACTGTAACTCATTTAGCACATTCTGTGTGCTAAATGTGTGTGTTTTCACACTCCAGCAGCCTCAGTGCAAGTACTTATAGGTTCACAGCTTTTCAAGTCAGGTGTCTATATGAAGACTGAAGCAGGCTTTACTTGCTGTAATCATTCCTCCAGTTCAATCTGGCCTTTAAGAGATCTTTTCTTCATGTGCTTTTAATGTAAATAGTCCAAAGATCTGTGCAAAAATGCATCAGAATGTTTATCTGGAGCTAGTTTGGGGGGGGATGCTGAACCAGCTCAGATTTTGATGTAATGCGACATCATCCGGTAAGAAAAAAAAAATCCAAACGCACATTTGCTTTGTACTGTGAGAACCGTATTTCTGCTATATACTATGCAGTTGTTGTGACAAAAGGTAATGTAATTGCTGCTATGATAATGTTCCAGCCTTGTAAAATCCTGTCTCCTGAATGAACACAGGGCTGATTTTAGCTGCTGAGACTGCTAAAGCTGGATACTGGTTTCAGATAAACTTAGGAATACATTGCACACAACAAGGGCTGTAGAGTTTGACCTCCATCACTTACACTGGAAGTGCTTTAGGAAGGGCTCTTTTAATGGCCAGTATGTACATGAGGACCAATTACAGCAAACAAAACATATGTTTCAGCGTTTGTATGAGCACTCAGTTACTGTTTTTAAAAAAGACATGAGAACTGTGGACCTATCCTTGGATGAGTTCAAATTGTCATGGTCACATTAAAGACTCATTTGTGTCTTAATTAATGTGCAGCAAGTCTTGGTAACTCTTGTTTGCAGGTTAAAACATTTAAACCTCTGTGGCTACGGCACAGAAACTCTGGGACATCTCATCTTCCCCTCCCTCCCTTGGGATGATAAGACTTATGGTATAGCCTATACTTAGTCACCAGCACTTTACTGTGCTTTGGGGAAAGCATGAGGAAGGAGCGCTGCAGGTGCCGGAAGAGTGGCTTGTGGCCTGCATGGTAAAAACAAAGGCATCTGGGCCTATGCAGCCAGCTTTTGTCCATGGTTTTCTCACAAGAAAACCCTTTGCTTTTCCAAGATGATCATGCATTGTCTTGCAAAGTAGCAGCCATCTTTCCAAGAGTTCTGCTTTGTCTAATGTCTAGTGGATGTGGTCTCAGGAGACGCTTCAATCAAGTGCTTGACTTTGAACAAAAATTATTATTGTAACAGTTTAAAAACTAATTAGTAGTATGTCCATTTAGTAATATGATTTTTATGCTTTGTGGTTTCAGATTATTGCTCAATTAGGCCTATTTCTAATATTTCAATTTTGTCTTTCAATGGCAAACAACCTTTACGGTAGCCATGCTCAAAAGAACAAATTTATGATATTAATGTGAACAGTTTCATTTATTTTTGATTAATTAGATTTAATTTTGAACTACAGCGTGCTAGATTTAAAGTATACCATTTTAACACTACTAAGTAGGAAAACAACAAAACAGTTTTGAAAACAGGATTTGTAAAGACATGGCATACAAGCTTAGCTGGATAAGAGTCTGACAGAGGGAGAGACACCAAAGTTAGTAACACTTGGCTGGCAACGCATTTCTGACCTGCTCTGGACATAATCCTGCTCTCACTCAGGTAGGCCCCGTTGCATCTGACTAAATAGTAGGGCTGTGACATTCACTACAGGCTATTTCTGATGCAGTTACAGGGCCATGGAGCGCCGCAGCATTCCTGTTTAGCTAGACAACTATCAGTCATTGCATTTGAGTGCAGTATGTCTTCAGTCACTCTTTGCATTCCCGCCCTCTCTCTTTAACACGGACATACAGTTTAACAGAAGCACACAATTAAGATACTCAACCATTACAGGAAAAACAAGGGACTCCAATCATGCCCAAAAATGTGAATGAAAGATATCTGGTTCATGGACGAGGAGACTGATCTGTTCACCAAGGAGATACACCTGTAATCCACTGTATACCTGTCAGGGTGCACACACCATTATATGGTGTTTCTGACCATTTTTGACAGTGAAATTTGTAGTCAACATTTTTGCAGTAACCTAACAAACAATTAAACCATGTATTAATCTCTTTTGTTTGTTTGTTTGTTTTGTAAAGGGCATTTAATTGTTCCTCTGTTCTCATATCCAGTGATCCAGGAAACAGGTCTCCCAAAAAAGAAACTACCACTACCTTAATTAACCTCTGTTCTAGCTACAGTAACTTCCCTGTGCCTATTTTACACAATATATGCAGGATGTGAACCTGAGCAACAGATATTAGTGGGAACAGAAAAGAGGAATCTTAATTAGGTATTAACTGGCGCTGCCTGTATAAAAAGCAAAACCAATATCGGTTAAAAATATGAAAAATACATCTTTGATGATTTGATTTACCCCATGTCAGCTTACCCCAATTAAGAAGTAGCCTTTTATCCTCTTTTCTGCACTTTCTTTGTAAAACCATCCATTTCTTATTGTTTAAGGTGTTTCTGCAAGTCAGTAAAATGCTAATTATGTTCATTATCATTATTAAGGAGTATCCCGGGTAATAGTTGAATGGCACACAAAACTTTTAGTTCGCTATGTTATCTTAAATATATAGAAACACTGTGATTACATTGGATGCATATTTACATTTAAGTAGTTGTTTTGGCTCATGTTAAGTTACACAAAACAAAAGAAACGAGAGAATGGGGGGAGTTCAGTAACCGAACCACTACTCTTCATCACCATCCTCCTCTTCACAGTCACCATCATCTGTGAAGCACAAGGCTCTTTAGCTTTAAGGAAATAAAAGAAGGGAAGGAAAAGACGAACCACGTTCTGTAAATACATAAAAGACCAACGGCTAATAATGGCGAGTCCGCCGTAAAAACATTACGGGAAGATCCTAAAATGTTGTCCTCTCACAACCTTACCTCCAACCCGGTACATATTCGCTGCCATGACTGCCCCCGGTCCCTGGCTTCCTCTCCAGGTAGAGGGGTGGCTCTCTTCTCTCCCTCGCTGCCGGAGCTGTGTTAGCACTGCCGCCGCTGTGTGTTGGAAAATGGTGGATTGATCAATACGAAAGTGACTAACTGAGAGGCCTTAAAGAGACAGTACACTTCATTTATAAAACCGAAGTTTGGCGCCAGTGTATTGGTACAAGTACTTTACCAAATTACTGGTTTTAATTCTACAAATGCTGTTACCATTAACCGTTAGCATTTTCGAAATCTACGCCAACTACTACACTACTTTCTGCTGCCGTGTGACGTCACTGGCTCTTCCAAAACCCACTGACTGTACCAGCTGTTAACTTTATGTTAGCATTACCTGTTATATTAGATATTTCAAAACTGTTAATTATACATCTCCTCAGATAATAGCTATCTTATGTGCCAAATGAAGGACAAAATCAACTTTTGACAAAACAGGAACAAAACAACTGTACAAACAGAGAAGTTTCAGCACAGAATTGTAAAATTGAAGTATCACTATGGATGGATCAAGAAACAATGGGCCCCTGGGCACAGACAGTATGTTAAAAATAACAGCCAAAAAGGAGACTGTGGAGTTGGCATTGCAAATAAATAAAGACAAATATCATCTAGAAACAAATAAACGACAATAACAAAATGTTCTATTCGGACTAGCTGTAATGCACAAAAGTAAACAATAAAACTATAGCAGTATTTTCAGGTGAAAACTGAGTTGTACACATTTGAAAAGTTGGCTATTGAAACACTTTCCTGAATTTCCCTTGAGATCACCAAAGTATCTAGCTATCTATTTATCAATCTATCTACTTTGAGTAAGAAAATTAAACACTGGTATTTAGAACAAACAGGTATTTAAAATCAATGGTATCAATGTAGGACAACCTCTGTCAGTGCATTCCATGGATGAGACAGGATAAGAGGGATGTACAACTGTGGAAAAGTTTAAAAATCTCTTAACCTGGAACTTGATGTGCCAAAAATGAAGTATCCCTGTCCCAGTCGTAAAAACAGCACTGTGATCTTAAATGCTTCTGCCTAGTGGTGTAAGCTGAGGTCCATGAACCACCAGGGGAGGGCTCCATGGGCTTAGTTCCAAAGGGGAACAGGATTAGTTAAATGTGATTAACATGAGATGTAAGCATGGTTACTAAACTTTACCTCTAACTTCTAACTTCAGTAACTACGTTAATGAAAGTTTAAGATTCAAATACCTGGCCTAATTGTCTTTTCTTAAATGTTTATGTAGTTGCCACTAAATATACAGTATGTAAGCTCACTTATACCTTTGTATTTATCATTTCATAGTATTTTCTTCAGGCTTTCTAGATAGGATAGGATGTGGTGATATTCTTGCCCAGTACCTGCAACATGATAATAGTTTTGAAGTGACTGTAGTATGATCCCTGTTAAATCAATTATTTTTCTCATGATGTCTTTAAATTTGCTCAGTTAAAAGGTCAACTCAGTTGTTAATTTGTTTTGTGTGTGTGTGTGTCTTTCCCAGTATAAACATTTGATTTTGCACACATCTACAATGGCATTATAGATATTAATGTTTCTGATGAATTGAAGATCATTATGAATCAACCTGTGGCTGTTATTTGCATGCTATAATGCAGGTTCATTCATTCATTCAGCTTTCCATACACATCAAATTCACATATTTATAGCTCATACTAAGTTTCAAATATTTACCCTCTAACTTGACACTACAGTAGTTGCACAAGGAGCAGTAATATTATGGGATACATTAGTACCATGACACGGAGGTTTAGGACTATCAATCTTATTACAGCCACCTACATAGTTAATTGTATGGGCCTACATGCATGAGACTGAATACATTTTGAATTTTGATATAATATGCCATAGAAAACTGGGACTGTAACAAAGACTGTGTTCCTGTTTAACATGTACGACAAACAGTGTATTGGATATTATGTTAACATTATGTTATCATAGTCAAAATCTAATTGTTTAAAAACATGAGTATCACATCTGGGATTTTTTGTAAAAAATAAAGAATAAAAAAAGTGTATTTAGCTGAATACTATACGACTAGAGATATAGGATATATTGTGTAGCCTCCAGTGATTATCTCAGTATTCACTGTGGAAATGAATGTACTGTAGAGACGGAGGAATGTTGTGGTGAAGGCTACATCTGATCTATACCATATGGAAGCCTCAATTACTGTGGCCTAACACAGGGGACTACAGTCTGCAGTCACATGACTCTTATAAGCCAATTGTGTGCTGTCAGTAGACTCTACTGCTCAAGTGTGCAGTTTCAGTGTTGGAGCTGTGCCGCATTGGAGGGACCCCATGTTGTGTCTCAGGGCTTTTTTATAAAAAAATAAGAAGACAGATAGGGTGTGTGTGTGTGTGTGTGTGTTTAATTCTGTGTTAAATAAATGAAAAGGCATTATTCCCCAATAGATATTTTTGCACATTATATATTTATTACCCGATATGTACTATGCTGCTCACTGCTGTGTGCAACATACAGTGTGCTTCTGTATTATTCAACTGAATATTGCTATTTGTAGTTTTACATATTGCTCACAGTTCACATTATTTCATACACTTATGTTGCTAAATAATTTCCATTTGGGCTGATAAAAATGTATTGTATTGCAGGATATCCCTGCCCAGTGAGTGTTACTGTGTTGTATATATCAGAGCTGAGCTGTCTTTTATGCTGTTCCCCAATAAACATAGAATAAAAATGTGCTAATACTTCATATGGTCTTAATTAAAGGAGGAGGGATCAGTGATGTTGCCTTGTATTAGGGAAGTGTGGCTACTTTCATTAACACCCTTTATTTATTTGGCTGCTTGCTGCTGTGCATATGTTCTTTTGAATCCACTTTCTTTGCCAGATGCTGCAGCAGTCAGGAAGACAGGCAAGCGAGCATGAAGGCAGAACTCTACGCAGCACAATACAGCGCATGTGTTCTCCCTGATGAATCTCAGTCTGTGGAGATGGATTGGCTTGAGACAGAAACTCCCCTTGGTTTGGTTGCAGTCCTGGAGGATGACCTCTGGCTTCTCTTTCTGTCTGTTACTTTTTCATTTAGCAGATAACTGCACAGGAGAGTCAAAGACACTGAGGAAATCAATTATGCCTGTTTCCTGGCACAAACTATCCCATATCTTTGATTGTGCTTCCTCATTTGTTCTCTCTCTGGGGTTATGCTTGTATCCAGAGACGCTATGGGAGGCACAGCAATAAAAGGACTATTGTTAGAGCCCTCTCTCCTCTACACCTGACTGTCAAACTGTGCATAGGTGTGTTTTGTATTGTGAGTGAAATAAAACACAATGATTATCCAATTATCATAATTAACAAACAATAGGCCACTTGCCAGCATTCTCTGTGAGCCAGGTGAGTGACTGTACTGTTCCAAGCTGCACCACAGTCTTTGTATGGTAAAGACAAGTTGAATCACCCCTGCTCTGTCTCACAGTGTAAGGTATAGTAAACATACAGTAGCTCAAACTGTAAAGTACAGAGGTCCGGTACAGCAATCCAAAGAGGTTCCAGAGATTTTATGAATGCATACATCATGCTCTCACCTGAAGAAACATCACTATCATTGAAGTTTTATATGTTATGGTTTTGGGACTCGCTTCCTGTTCTTGTGCTTTTATTTTGTATTTTTCCTGTCCTGTGTCACCTCACCTGCCCCAGCTTTACCCTGGTTTCTAATGACTACTCATTGTTTCCACCTGCTGCTTGTTACCCTCTGGTTCCCAGCCCATATATTCTCCTCCTTTCCTTCAGTCCCTTGCTGGTCCATGCTCTGCATGCTACATCTTGTCTGTTCCTGTCCTGTGTCTCCTGTTCTATTTTCCAGTTTGCTACCTATGGAACTTGTCACCTTGTTTCTTCTTCTCTGGTTTGTTTGTTTGTTTATTTTATTTATTTGTTATCTAGCTCCCTGACAGCTCTGTTTTGTTGAGATTTAGTTTCTATGGTCTGGTTGAGCTCCCCTGGTTGTACTCCTGTTGACTCTGTACCTAATCCATCATATTAAAAGACTATTAAGAACTCAGTCCTGGTCTGTGTCTGCATTTTGAGTCCCATCCTAGTCTGTAACCTAACATTATATGGAAACAGCTCATAAGTGATTCAACCTATCAAGTGATTTGACTGAATACAAGTTCTGAATGTGACACTTCTCTACTGCACATTTCATTATGTTTCAACTGCTCTGCAAGCTTTGGCACAAGGAAACTCTAACTCTTTTAATTGGGAATTTCTGCTGTAGGGGATCTGTCAAACAGATTTCACAGCCAAAAATATTAGCAACTGAAGAGATACAGTACAGTAAGGAATCCTGCCAAGAACCTGCAGCTTGTATTTATAAATCACACCACAGGAGGAGCTATTGTCTTGATTTTGGCAAAATGGGGAGTTGATACAAAGGGATAGCTGTTTTAAGGTCATACACAATTGATATATCACTATCCATAATCTTTAGATTTTGTAAAGCACACACTGAAACAAAAACATCATCAATGAAACACTGGGATTGCCTGATGCCAGTTGGAAATATATTCTAACCACAGTTACATCAGTCTATCACCAGATGTCATCACTCACACAACTTTTCCTCGCAAAGTGGTAATGCATCAATCCCTATTGGAAATGACACTTAAATGAATTATTATAAATTCAGAAAAGATCCTAGTGAGTAGCATCAGTGCTGACACAAAAATTTTGACTGCAGACCTCAAGTACAACAAATAAAACTTTGTCACTGTGTCTTCATCATTGTCTGTCTAATGTAGATCAACAAAGCTGGTCAGTAGTGTAGAGGTGTTGCTTTTGGAAGTGTTAGGTATTTTTAGTCAGATAGAAATTGGATAGATACTTTATGTATTAGAAATGTTTAGTGGAGATAGGATGTCTAGTTAAACTGTTAAATGCTTAGTCATGCTTATGAGTTTCTACAGGGTACATCTGGTCAAGGATAACTAGAGAGAAGAGTTGATGACTGGCAGCAGACAGGGTGTTTAATATTATTATTATGACGTGTATAACTGTAGCCTTAGCCATAATATGTTCTTATGTTTAAGTCACAACATGTTACTAGAAGTCTGTGAGAATGTTTTTAGCTACACACCACTTAATCAACAGACACACACACACGCACATTGATTTGCTTCATGTTTTGACTACTGCTATGACCAGCTGCAAAGCTGGCAACAAAGACGTCTCGGTTGATGTTTCTGTGTAGTATGGGGCTAGCCCAACCGAAGGGATATAATGTAT